TCAAACATACCGTACCCTGAAGTCGGTGGAAATAAAGCGATCCCAGTCTCTGATGTCGCTTCTGTTGCAAAGGTCCGCAGCGCGCTTACAACGAAAGTGGGTATCGACCGGGGAGGTGCCCAGGAACCATCCCGTCATTCTGCCGTTCCATGAAGATGCCCCAGCCAATATTTTCGGTTGTACGTTTCTAGGATAGCCTTTCTATGTTGCCCACTGTCAAGTCGCCAAGCCCGTTCTGCTTCTGCTGTGGAGCAGTGGTCAAGCATGATGGTACCAGGAGCTGCAGTTCAAGGCGGACTTCGGCACTCCCCATTACGAGCCAGATGAACTGACTTGGAAGTGCACCTGGCGGTAGGATGAGATCTGAGACGTCAAGCGTATTTCTGGCCCAGTTTTTATGATTAGGTGGGGCAGAAAGCTGTGCAGTCGCCCCGGCTGGAAGCGGTGAGCTGCGCGGGTCGTCCGACCGCGTAGTCCACATGCGAGACGATGCCATTACTGTAGTATTTCGCATCGATCCTGAGGCTCCTATATACGGAAGTACAAGCTGCGAGCTGAGATCTTCGCTTGAAGTATCATTGAGAGTGATCCATCCGGAGTAAATGGGTAGCGCAGAGATGTCGACGTCCTTCGGTGGTGTTGCGGAAACCAAGACTTTGACTTCCTTACCAGGCTGAACAATTACTTTTGAGGGGGAAAATGAAAGCTCTGCGTAGGCGCTCGTCAGAGGTGGTGACGAATGCTTGTATACCGTGCCTGACCAGAGGGTGTCCGTAGTGAGCGCGGGCCTGTGCCCGATGGCGTAAGTCACTGAGAGGTTGCCTTCATTTCGAATCGTAAAGGTTTGTTCAGAAAGGAAGTTCTCAGTGTCATTAAAAGATAACTGTGTGACACTCAAGAAGACGGTTGAGTGGGCTGCGTCGTATGCCTGTACCAAGCCTGCACCTTGCTGTGGAACGGGGCCAAGACCAGGACTTAGAACTGGCCAGCCTGTCGACATGTCGTATGATCTACCGGGTTTGGCGGAA